ACCCAACACTTTTATTCCTGATTTAAACTAGCGCTTGTGAGCAGCTGCAGCTGTATGCTTTTATTTTTTCTGTCAGGCTGTCGGAGCGCTCCTCCTCCTCTGTCCGGTGCTGATGTGGGGTGAAAATCCTCCACCTCAGACCGTTCAGAGATGTAACTGTCTGCGATACTGTAGTCACTTTCCATGTAGCATCAATTATGCTAATGCTAGCTGTCACATTCTCTCGTCCTGGTCCCACCTCCGCTCTCTAACCCCCCTTCCCCACACACACCCCCTCCCCTATGCATTTTTCAAATTTCCCCTTGGGGCGGAGTTATCTTTTCACAGTGGGGTAAGATACACTTTAAATGCTACATAAAATACACATTTAAAAAAAGCCATTAGTATTTTTATAAGTTTAATTTGTTTTATTATATTTCTTTAATAAAGGCAAGAGTTTGACCCCCCTGCTTTAAAAGTTAGATTTTTCCAACGATGTAAGATGGAAACAAACAGAAACTTATTTTAGCTCCTGACTTTCTACACTGAAGTTCTTTCATTAGATTTCATGAGCGTTCCCACCCAGAGGAGAACAGTTGCTACTTTGTGTTTTATTAGCATTAGACACAAAAAACACACAATTATGTTCAGTTTTACTGGTCTGACCCACATGAAACATGGAGAACTTCTGTGCAACCACAAAGCCTTTGAGAGGAACCGCCTAATGCGTCATCCCGTCTTCACGACATCAACGAGGCTCTTTGGTTAAATGAACCGTTCAGAATCCCTCAGACACAACAAGCTACAGGCTAACAAACAGCTCAGTCCAGCTAAAATCTTTAGCTGCTGTTAGCTGTCACACACACACACACACACACACACACACACACACACACGGCTCAGTTAAACAAGGAGTCCACAGAAACCCTCAGAACTATGGGCGCTCTCATGGAAAGGTGCAGGAAGTGAACAAAGAACAATAGAAGCAGTTTTCTGCAGAGCTTCAACTCTGGGTATTAATAATCCCAGGAACGACTCCAGGTTGGGTGGGAAAAAAAACAAGAAATAAAGTTTTCTTTTTTTCTGCCTACAGATGAATGAAAACTGCTGAGTCAGCGTTTAGTACTCTGTTTATTATTCTTCTGTATTTGTCTGCATATGTTTCAAATTAAACTACTTCTGAACACTTTGAGATATTTAAGCTGCTCTTTTATCAGAAGCTTCAGCTCATTCAGGAGATAACTGCTGGGACTTCTGGTTTTACTAACTTTTTTAAATAATATTTAACTTTATTTACAAAAACTGGTAATTAATATTCATGAAATGTTCTTAGGGTTCTCTTTGAAATCTTCCTGATCTGTTCTTCTCAATCTTGTTTTGGCAAATGTTTCCTTTAGCTTTTAGCTCACTTTTTGTTACTTTTAGCTAGCATGTTGCTATAGTTAGCACTCTGCTACTTTTAACTTTTTGCTAACCTTTTATTGTTTGCAGCATTTTGCTAAACTTAGCCTTTCACTACATTTAGCTTTCAGTTTGTCTTTTGCTACTTTCAGGTAGAATGTTGCTACTTTTAGTTAGCATTTTGCTATTTTTACTTTTTACCTATCATTTTAATAACATTTAGTTTTTGGCTAACATGATATTGAATCAAACTAGCATTTTGCTACGTTAACTTAGCCTTTCACTACATTTAGCTTTCAGTTTGTCTTTTGCTACTTTCAGAATGTTGCTATTTTTAGTTAGCCTATTGCTATTTTAGCTTTTACTAAGTATTTTAGCACTTTTAGCTTTTGGTTAACATTTTAATGATTCTAATTAGTGTGTCTACTTTCAGCTAAAATGCAGCTATTTTAGTTAGCATTTTGCTTATTTGTGCTAGTACTGTCTTTGGGGATGTTCAGCTAATCCATTTTCAGTTTACAGCTTGTTTACTAGTTATCCTTCTGCTACTTTTAGTTTTCAGCTAAGTGTTTGAACAGTTAGCTTTTAGCTAACAGTTTGCCTCTTAAATAGCATTTGCTACGTTTAGATTATAAGCAGAACTCACAAATTTCATTTTTTTTTCAGTCCACAGTCGAGTGGACAAACAGGAAGTACAAACGTCTCAACAGGTGTCAGCGTTAGTAAAATATTTGCTTCAAAGCCGTTCTGATTTCTTACCATGAAGTTGCGGATGGACCTGTGGAAGATGGTCCCGTCGTAGTAGCCCTTCTTACACAGACGGATGAAATTCTCTCCAGCTTTGGGAACCTGAAGGAAAAAAACATCTAGATTTAAAACAGAGGTAACGATTACTCTTTGTGCATACTTGCTTTATTTTTCTCCTTGTAGCTAGCTTTTAGCTACTTTTAGCTTTAAGCTAGCCTTTAAATATTACTAGCTAACACTTTGCTGCTTTAAACAAGCATTTCACCCTTTTTAGCTAGCCTTTTGTTAGATTTAAGTTAGATCATGTTTGGAGACCTTTAGCTAGCCTTTAGCTATTTTTAGCTTTAAGCTAGCCTTTAGATATTTCTAGCTAACACTTTGCTGCTTTAAACTAGCATTTTTCATTTTTAGCTAGCCTTTTGTTAGATTTATGTTAATGCTTGGAGACTTCTAGCTAGCCTTTAGCTACTTTTAGCTTTAAGCTAGCCTTTAGATATTTTTAGCTAACACTTTGCTGCTTTAAACTAGCATCTTTTTCCTTTTTAGCTAGCCTTTTGTTAGATTTATGTTAATGCTTGGAGACTTCTAGCTAGCCTTTAGCTACTTTTAGCTTTAAGCTAGCCTTTAGATATTTCTAGCTAACACTTTGCTGCTTTAAACTAGCATTTTTTCCCTTTTTGAGCTAGACTTTTATTAGATTTGTTAGATTTATATTAGTTCATGTTTGGATACCTTTAGCTAACCTTTAGTTACCTTTAGCTTTAAGCTAGCCTTTTGTGTCACTCAGCTAACTGACTTTGCCTGATCAGCAGAACCAACAGATGTTTAAAGTTTACACTGATTTTCAACATTGAAGTGTTTCTTATACAAACACACAGGTTTAAGCTGAAGTAGAGATGCTAACTGAGCTCTGTTCTGTCAAATATCTGACAAACATCCAGACTTTGTGAAGCAGGTCAACAGCAGCACCAGAAGCTGGTTCTGACTGACCGGACCTCTTAAATCAAGCTGTTTGTTCCTGAGCTGCAGCCTCGACCGTGACGTTCATCAGATCTACAGTAGCTAAAGTCAACAGCCTGGAGGAACACGTCTGTGCGTCGGCTTCCAGGAACAACAGCTGCTTTCATAAAACCTGTTTGACTTTTAGCTGTTTGTTTCCACTTCCTGTCTTTTTCACACTCCTTAAGTTTGGTACAAAGAGCATCGACCAAACACCCAAAAATAAACTTTTAATTTCCTCTCATTTATCTTCAGTGTTCATGTCTGTTTGTGCAGCCGAAGAATATCGAGCATGCAGACCTGTTTAGACTCTCGCTGAGGAGGTTTAAACATATGAAGCAGCTAAAGCAGAGAGAGGAGAACAAACACTCAGCTAAAACATTAAAACTTAAATATTTATATCATCTGAAAATACAGCCTGAATCCTGAGAGCTGAATGAGTTCACTGAAAAGCAACAAAACAGAAGCTAAAAGCTAAAACTGCTAAAGCTTCATTAGCAAAACAATGAAAAAAGAAAAAAAGTAGATAAAAGCTAATATTAAGAGCTAAGAGCTAAAAGTAAACACAGCTGCAAACTACAAATAGTAAAACTGAAGTTTAAATCTAAAATAATCAAACTGTAGCTTAAAAATACTTACAAAATCAAAACAGAAGATCAAAGCTAAAATTAGTAAAACTATAGATAAAAGCTAAAATTAGAAAAAAGAGTAGAATTAGCAAAACTAGAGCAAAAAATTTAGCAAATGTAGTATCTAATGGCTAAATATAACGATGCTGAAGCTAAAAGTAGCAAAACTGTAGCTAAAATGATCACAACAAGTAGCTTAAAGCTAAAATGAGCAAAAACAACAAAGCACAATTTAGTAAAACTATAGCTGAAAGCTAATGTTGGTGAAACTGTAGCTAAAAACAAACAGAAAAATTGTAGCTGAAATCTAGAGCCACAATTAGCAAAACAATATCTAAAAGCTACAAGGTGCAGCTGAAAACTAAAAATAACTAGTAGCACTCTGAGAGTGCAAACCTCAGCCAAAACCAATTTCCCCCATCCTGTAACAGAGTTACAAAGGGGCACACCAATACTACAGTGCCACCTGCTGGACACTTTGAAACCCACGCCCTGTGAAAGCATCACAGCTTTGCCGATGTCAGAGTGTTCAAAGAAAATAAATTCCTGTTTCCTCATCGTGATCTGGAACATCACCAAAATTTAAAGATGTGTTCTTTGGCCCAGTACCCACATGTGGTAAAAATGTCATGACAATCTGTCCACAAGTTTTTGAGTAATGTTGTCCACAGACAGAATGACGGACATACGCGACTGAAAACTTTACCTCGCCCTTGGCGGAGGTAATAAAACTGTAGCTAAAAGCCAAAATAACCAAAACCATGGCTAAGTGCTAAATTTAGCCTGACTAATAAAAAGCTAAAAGAGTCCTAATAAAAACAGAAACAGAGCTGCTGAAGAACGTTTCAGAGAAGTGTTTGAATAAATTAAAGAGATCCGACTCTTTTCTATGGAAATATTCGGAATTGAAATAAATATTTAAAAAATTTGTAAAAGCTACAAAAACCAAATGAAATGGCACAAGTTTTAAATGTGATGAACTGTTTAATTAATAACGTTTTAAACTTAAATCTAAAATGAGCATCTGAAGCACTTCATCCTCAAACCTTTTATTTGATTTAAAATTCTAATAAAACCTCTGATCAGGCTCAGATAACGCTCCTTTCATGGATCAAAGGTGCTTTTAAGCTGAATAAGGTGATTTGCTTTGATGCTCCTGAACGAGCGAGGCCGTCACATTTCATCTCAGACCAGGTGTGGACACCTCTGAAGCTCCACCAGCGAGCGGGCGGGCGCGGGGTCCGCCTGACGGGAGCGTGTGTGACAGCTCCAGTCAGATGTGAGAGAAAACCCACAGAGGTGGGCTGGAAGAGAACGAGGGCTACGGAGGTCTCATCACACTATTTTGACTCAACAGAGCCGAGGTTCGGCTCATCCAGCAGGAGTTCAGGATGAGTCACCAAACGACATTTCACAGCTTTTAGCAGCATTTCAGGAAATTAATTATCAGCTGCTCTACAGCGTAATAAGTGTCTCATTCTCAGGTTTCAACCTGAAACAAGCTCCTTAAAGATGATCTTTCTGTGTTTATCTGCGGCAGCCATCTTGTTTGACGATCTTTAAAAAATCCAAACAGCAAATTTAAAACTAATTTTTACTACCTGCTGTCTAAAAGTGACTGAATGAAACGAGGAGATAAGAGTCTCCAAACAGAGAAGCTGCTCCTCCTGCAGGCGACGCGCCTCCTCCTCCTCCTCCTCCCAGATAAGACGTTAAAGTTTGATCTTCCTGGTAAATAATTGAGAAACAGAGTGCGCTGCACAGCTTAAAGCTTAGTGAAGCAGTCAGAGTAAATATTTTAAACACTATCAGACCCAAACTTGGTCCTCTAAAGCTTCTATAAACACATGGAACAGAACCAAGCCCATAGATTCACTGCTGCTCGCGTCGTTTTATGTCGACGACTCTAACCGTGTTTCCATCAAGGCTTTTTGATGCTCATTTAGAAGTGTCGCATTAAAAATGCGAAAAAAAGTCAGATGGAAACGGCAAAATTCGAAAAAAAAAAAACCCTCAATTCGCTAAAAAGTTTTTACGCTCACTCGAAGTGGATTTTGGATGATTTGCAAAGTAGTTAATGCACAAAACGGGAGAGGGAAACACGTTTGCCGAATAAATTCTGACGTAGCTCATATTTACCTCACTTTACCTGCCTCGTCCCAGATGTTATCATAAAGGAGCGAAAACATTGCGTTTATTTCCCTACATCTCCTGGCAGCGTTAAACATAGCCTGTACTCGCTGAATAGATAGAATAATTACAACTTGCCCAATAGCAAGGCATTCACGAAAAAAATCGCTCCATTGTCCCGAGATGATTAGCCTCTGCTAGTTAGCAAGTTTCACTTCCTGTTTACTATCGCAAAGCTTGTCGCCGACGTCTGACGTAATCACGCGTTGCGTAGCCTCGTCCGACATAATCACGCGTTGCGTAGCCTCGTCCGACGTAATCACACTTGCGTAGCCTCGTCTGACATAATCACACGTTGCGTAGCCTCGTCTGACATAATCACACGTTGC